AGGTATTTCTCTTGCCTTAGCATGCGTTCGTGGTGTAGCGGTTAGCACACTCGACGCGTATTCGAGAGGTCCGTGGTTTGAGTCCCGGTGAAGGAGTTGCTAATTTTTCAATCTCTCTTGCTTCCAAAAAATCCTAATGTCTCTACAGTGGCGCTCGAACTAAAAGGGAGTTGGATGATGACTCTGCTCACCCAGGATTTGGTGACTGGGTGCCCTAAAAACCCCAGTCGCCCTTTAAAAGGGGGAGTATATAAGGTATTTCTCCTGCCGTCTTAGCATGCCTTCGTGGAGTAAGGGTCAGCACACATGGCAGGTATTCGAGAGGTCCGTGGTTCGAGTCCCGGCGAGGGCATTGCTCATTTTTCGTTTCTTCTGCTTCGAAATAACCTAATGTCTCTACAAGTTATCTGAAAGATATCTGAATCCAAGAAGATGCTGAAATTAAAGTTTTATACCATGAAAATTTATACTCGATTTTCCTGCTTTGTCCTTTTATTTTAGAGGAGAAGAGAATATTTAGTTTATTGGTGATAACAGAAGAGGTAAAATGAGAATTTTGTGCGAATTATTTCTCGTGCTAGTGTTGTGCTGTTCTATTTTAGTGAGTGTTCAAGGATTCTATGATTATTAGTCCACTGTGTTATGAATTATGGTGGGAAATGATTTCCCCCCGCTGGCCAAAATGGAAACTTCCACTGTTGCTCGTAACCACGTGGCTGGTTTACCCGACCAAGTATGTGCGTTCGCGGATCATATTTTGGATAGCAACTGGAGTGAACTTCTAAATAAATCTACCTATACTTTAGATGATTATGTGGGTGCGTTGCACCATGTTTAAAAAAAAACGAAGTTAAATATTGAAACCAGTGAGTCGGTGTTTACCGGATTAATCAACGATGCGGATACGTAACAAGCTAAACAGGATCTACTTGTGAAATTCCAAAGACAACATGGCGCTGCCGAAATACTGTGCAATCCTTTGGTGCTTTAAATCCCAGTTATGCAAGAGTTTCTCTTAATGATTTTGTTCTTGATAATATTTATAAGCATGTTGAAGAAAATTATAATTATTGTAATGCTAGTAAAAATGTCTGTAATGGCAATGTTAATAATGGGAATAGCATAGAAATGCGGCTGTGCAGAATAAATTTGAAAATTTAACTATTGACTCGGGAAAAAAAATGATAATGAAAATGCTTACAAAAATACTCAATCTCATACTGATAGTGTAATTGTTCAAACAAAACGGATGACACATATATTGACTAAACATGATGTTAAATCCTCCGACTTCTTAAAAATTTTAAGAGGTAATGCAAAGTTAGATTTTGCTGGAAGAGTTAGCGGAGAGTTCCTTAAAATATTTTCAAAGTTTGAAGAAGACTACAGAGCAATTACTAGGTATCTTGACGCAAAAAAGGTCGACCACTACATTATAACGAGTAAGATGAAAAGGCCATTAAAAGTAGTCTTTAGGGGACTCCCCATAGACTGCCCGGTCGATGAAATTCACGAAGAATTAGAGAATAAGGGATTTAAAGTCAGAAAAGTTACCCAAAGGTTTCAGTTAAAAAGCAGAACACCCATGCCTCTATTCCAAGTGCACCTCGAAAATATTCCTATGACTGAAAAAATATATGACCTTACATATTTTATGTATTTTTATCTTACTGGAATTTCTTACAAAGTGAAAGGAAGTGTTGTGCAATGTCACAACTTCCAACGCTTCAATCACTCCTCAGAATTATGCAAATTAAAACCCAGATATGTAATGTGCGCTGGGCTTTACAAAACGAAGGCCGTTCTGCTAAAAGAATCGAAAATGTAAAATGTTGCAACTGTTTACAAACCGGACAAACCGCGAACTATCGTAAATGTATGAAATTCCCCTGTGAGCTAAATTAAACCTGCTGGAAAAGACAATAATGGTAATAATGGAAATATGAATGTAAACAAAGCAGAAAATAGTAAATCCTCAATTGTAAAACCAGGTGTATCTTATGCTAATATTGCGCAAAACAAGAATGTGTCAAATGTAAACAATACCTAAGCTGAATCTAATGTTAATGAAAATAAAACCTAATGATCCTGGCCTAGGTGGATTTACGGACTTATTTAAATGTATAAAAGAACAAAGCAATATGTTTAAAGGTTTCTCATTTTTCAATGTGTTTAAAAAACCTGCAGCCAAACTACCAGAGCTTCAGATTACCGAACATGACATAGACAAATTGTTCATATTATTGGCACTATTTGAGAAAAATTTTCAGTTCTGATTTAATATAAATCATATGTAATAACGCTTATAAGTTTATCAATGTGATTACATGGAACACAAATGGACTAGCCCGCAAAATCAATGAATTGCAGGACTTTGTAAATGACTAGAACCTTATATCATTGTTCCTACAAGAACATAAACTTAGCCCGAAAACTCCTATCTATGCATCTAACTACAATGCTTACAGGTCAAACAGAGATATGTACGGTAGATGGCCTAGAGGAGGCGGAACGACGCTCCTTGTCAAACACTGCAGTTACCCAATTACAATTCTACAGCTTTTGGTCGTAGAAGCCTCAGATATTACACTCACAACAAACACCTCCATAACATATGCTTTTATCTCCACCTACGTTCCACTATCTCGTAATAATGTCTTAGTCGCTGCTGACTTGAACATTCTACTCTCACTTAGTAACCATGTTGTTATAGGTGGAGATTTAAATGCACGACACCGTGAGTCGAACTACTATAATTCGAACCCCACAGGAGACGTAATATTTAACTTGGCCAATTCGACGCTATTACGCATAGCAGCTCCAAAAACCTCAACACGATATACAACTGATTCTACTGGAATTATAGATTTCTTCCTGCTCAGAAATACCAGCGATCCGCTGGATATTTCTATGCTGGTTGAACTCTTCTGATCATAACCCGGTTAAAATAATTCTCTCAACATCAGTAGTTATACCACGCGAGACACCAGAGCCTTTACAAATGACTGGCAATTATATGCCAAAGCTCTAAACAACATGCATTACACGCTTCCAACGATACAGTCGGGGAATGACATTGAAAATCTAATCAAGGAATTTACTGATACAATTAAAAAGGCGCATGAATACGCAACTAAAAAAAAGTACCACTCAAGAAATGCATCAGATAAAAGGAGCTACAATAACTTATTAAGCAGCGAAATACAGAAATGATGGCATTTTCAACGCACCAGAAATCCTGTAGACAAACAGATACTAAATCGTCTGAAAAACGCAGTCACTTGACTCGAACAAGCACAACTCGATTGGACAAACTACTTTAACTCGTTCTGCACTGATGATAACTCACTGTGGAAAGCTATACGAAATGATACAATACAATTTCGCCCCTTAAAGGGCTCCTAAGGATCCACTACACTGAAACTGACGAAGCAGAACTTTTAGCTGAGCATCTGGAATCTCACTTTCGCACAATGAACATTCATGACTCAACAACAGAATACTTAGTTGCTAGCTTCCATTCCACCTACACATCAAATCCATACGCAGGTAACATTATTCCAGTCTTACCGTCGAAAGTTTTCAGTTACATCAAACAGTTGAAAAGAATAAGAGCCCTGGCTTTAACAAGATTACTAACATCGAGATAAAGAACTTACCAATGAAAACAGTATTAATTTTTACCAAAATCATCAACGTGATTCTAGAACGGCAATTTTCCCAACGTCTGGAAATTAGCCACCATCACTCCAATTCTCAAGCCCAAGAAGCCTGATGTAGCACCAGAGTCACGCAGACCAATAATTCTTCAGTCGTCTCTCAGCAAAATGTCGAAGCTGTTCTACTTAAGAGAATAAATACCTACCTGGACAATAACAACATCATTATACCTTACCAGTTTGGTTTTAGGAAAAAAAAACCTCTCTACAACAACTCTACAGAGTAGTTCAGATGATCACCGAAGGATTCCAAACCAAGAAGATTACAAGGGTAATCTTCCAAGACATAGTTAAAGTTTTGGACCGTGTATGGCTAGATGCACTAATATACAAACTACACAATCTAGGTTTCCCAGATTACATCACAAAGATAATTAAATCTTACCTGACAGGTAAACACTTTGCCGTTCATGTTTCTGGCACACACTCCACCCGCCGCGCTATATTAGCCGATGTCCTCCAATGGTCCCATTTGGGGCCCACACTGTTCACTTACTTACATGAACGACATTCCAACCACAGCCAATACCACATTAGCAATGAATGCAGACGACGTAGCGATTCTGACACAAAGCCATGTGTTCATTTATTTATTGCATATTCAATATTTACTGCGTTTACCTTTAATTATTTAGATATCACATTGTGAGCTAACCTATACCAGTTTTATATTTAGTTATATTTAGTCTTATTTCTCCTTCCATGCACTTAGCTATAAAAAGCATCAAAGTACTCTTATTACATTACCTATGTTGTTATTAATTAAACATTAATATTAAGTTTTCAGCCTCCACACCAGTTCGGCTGCTCTCTGGATTAACAGCTTACTACCATACTCATTACAAATTATTTTCTTTTGCTCTACTCTTGTAAATAATCATCAAAAGTCTTTAAAAAAACTTACATTTTAGTTTTCATTACTTGAAGTATTCATTAGGAAAGTCTAACTTTCGATTAAGGGTAAGACTTCGTGCCTAAATACCCTGGTGAGCACACCATTACCCAGAAGGAGTTAAAATAACTCTGAAGTTTATTCTTTACGATGTGAAATGTATGAGAAAGCTGATTAGCTTTATTAATTTCTCTTCTGATTTATTTTACTTTATAGGTAGGTATTCTTAAAAAAAAAAAAAAAAAAAAAAAAAAAAAAAAAAGATTAAAAATATCAAATTCTTAAAATATTTGTTTTGATTGTTTATATATAGCAACTTTCTTTCATTCTTTTGGCAACAATGTTGTTTAAATATCATTTTAATGTTGTTTTCATAGCTGCGAGTGAAAGGTCTGTCATGATCGGTAAAGTTTACACCGGGTTTGTAGTTTCGCTGGGTCCATCTAATTGCTTAACTGGATTGCTATCAATTTTACACCGTCTTTTTTTAATTTTAGAACAACCGAATTAAAGGATTCATTCGGCAAGGGAAATGAATTCCAAATTTAATTTTGAGCACAATCCGGTATATTTACGAAACAACTGTTTGGTTATTTATGGGTTGGAAACACATTTTCTGGTCAAATATTTGAGTTTACTGCCATTATCAGCAAGTAAAAGACATCATCAGTCATTTTCAAAATTCATGTATTGTAATCCTAAATGCTGAAGTCCTAGATTAGATGAAAGACTTTAATGTGAAATGTGTAAGTTTATTATTATTGTATATTTAAATGGATTTTTTTATCCGCTGGGATATTTAATTAAAATTCATACACAATCTGAGTATTTATTTTTAATTTTATTAATTGGCATTTTTTTCTGTTAATTGAGAAAATAATACTGAATTCTGAATTTGGAGTGATTACTAAAATTTTAAATATGTATGACTAATTGTTTGTATAAAGAAGGTATATGAGATATTCTTCAAAAAATTTGATTTCTATATCATTCATTAGCGAGAAATACAAGGTAATAAAGCTTTTAAGTACGTTTGTGAAATATGTTTATTATCTCAAATCTTTCAGTAATTTAAGTTGTAATAAAATTTGCTATTAATATTTATTTCCCAAAATTTAATTTATATGAATTCCAAACCATTCCTTTCACATAATTTGCATATAGTTTTATATCCCATCTTTCTTGCCCGTATATAAAATATATACTTTTTTATACTGTTATTCAGAAATAAGTATACTTCAACATTAAAAGGTCGTATGAAATTAACTGTTTGCTAGCTTTCAGGTTAAAAAGTTGATTTATAAATGTTACTTTAAAAAAATTTTTTTTTTCTCTTAGGCCTTTGTTAACGGTTATATGTTCTATCATTATAATAATTTTATTTATTAATTTCAACAGTGAATTACTTCTTCAGATTAATTTAATAATTTCAATACAGAACGTGTGTATGGCTTTAAAATTTTGCACATACGAGCATATCACAGTATAATGAATTTTCTTAATGCTCATACATTAGACCTCATTTATACATAGGAGAAATTTGCATTTCAGTTTTTAATATTAAGTCTATCAGCAATATTTGGTATTCTATTTTATTAAATGTTTTTTCAGTAGTCGAAGATTGATCATTGTAAAATATCAGGTATAACATATATGGATTCATCATATTATATATTTTTGGAGCATGGATATTTTATGCAAATGTTAATTTTTATGAACTAGTAGTGTTTATTATGTTTACTGAAGTTAAATATTAAGTTTTCAATTTCTTATATCTGCAGTAGTTATTGTATATGCTGAAAATGAATTTCCAATCATTACTTCATCAGTTTTTTAGCAGTATCACCTAATCCAGTGTAGATTCTTTATATATAAATATATCCAGTGGTGAGCTATGAAAATTTTCACAAAGGACTTAAAAATAAAGCAATTATTCTTGAATAAGGAAACAGGTACTTGCATATTAATTATCACAACCACCTTAGTAGAAATCGATAAAGCTTCAGAATACACCAAACTCTGGTAGCCATGTGCATAACAATCAATCAGGCAAGTATGCTCATGGTGAATAGTACTCAGTTTCCAAAATCATAATTTTTGTAAGCTTTCCCTTTTTTTGTGTGTGTGTGTATTCCAAATTCTAGTTGCTTTTATAGAAAGATTACGATTATTTTTTGCCTGAAACTCGATTTTAAAATTTGTAGCTGTGTGATTTTCCTTTAACCCCTTCCCTGTTTTGCCCGTACGGCGTACGGGCACAGCTTTCAGGCCTTTACGCGTACGAGCAATCTGATTTCTATTTCGCTTGCACTGTTTCGGCTGTATTTTTTCAAATTTTAGTAACAAATTTTTCATATAGATGACGATAGTTATCCAGTAAATGATAGTTTGCAGTTTATTGTCTGATTGGTTCAGATGCACGGTTTTTTTTTGCATATTTTGTATCAGAAGACGAATTGTTATCATTCAGTGTATAGCTTTCTGGTTATATTTTACTAACCGCCTGATAATTTTATTGATGTAAAAGTTGAATAATATATTTTTACTTTTAAATAATGGATAATTCAGAGCGTATGGAGCTAATTTCGTGTGATTCGAACTGTGACTCGGAATCAGAAATTGAATTATCTATAAATGATAGTAGCGAAAGTTTACTAGATGACTGGATAGTAGTGACTCTGATAGTAGTACAGATGTAATCAGTCATGCAAGACAATTTTTTGAACTTAGTTGTGATAATCTTTCGGATCCGCCTCCTAGATCTGCTTTCACTGAAATTCAAAAAATTAACTTGGATATCGATGAGACTAAAGGTAAACTTCAGTTCTATGATGCTTTCATAGATGATTATTTGCTTGACCTGATTGTTTTTGAAACAAATAGATATGCTGAGCAATGCATAAAAAACAGGACACTTTGTAGGCATTCCAGGAGCAAAAAATGGACACCAACATCGAAAGATGAATTACATGTATTTTTTGCTTTGAATATTCTGTATTGTAAAAAAGCCAGTTGTTGAGCAGTATTGGAGCAAGAGGCATTCAACATCCACGTCATTTTTTCCAAAAGTGATGTCATATCGCCTCCTTCAATTAATTTACAGTTATTTGCATTTTTCAGATAATGTCAATTTTGACATAAATTCTCATGAGTGTCCAAAATTAGCAAAAATATGGACCGTGCTAAAGCATTTAAAAACTCGTTTCGAAGAAATGATCATTCCTGAACGTGATGTTACCATAGACGAGAGTCTTATGTTGTTCAAAGGAAGGCTAAGTTGGAAACAGTATATTCCTCTAAAGCGATCAGGCTTCGGAATAAAATTGTACATGCTTTGTGAGTCGAAGTCTGGATATGTATGGTCTATGATAATATACACTGGAAAAAGGAACTGTGTTTGATGAAAGTTACAAACATTTGAGCAAATCTTCGCAGGTAGTTATTACACTTATGAAACCACTTTTACATAAAGGATACTGTTTGACATCTGACAACTTTTATTCATCTCCTGAAATAGCAGATATCCTCATTAGTTACTGTACAGATATGTACGGAACATTAAAACTTCAAAGAAAGGAAGTTCCTAAAGCACTGTTGACAAAAAAACTTCAAAAAGGGCAAATGCTTGCTTACCAGAGGGGAAAAGTGTGTGCATTATGAAATGGATGGACAAAAAAGCCGTGTCTCTCTCATATCTACAATACATAATGCGGAAATGGTTCAAGTATCCACTTCGACGAATGAAATTAAACGAAAACCTAAAGTAGTTATGGAGTATAATAAATACACAATGGGTGGTGTAGATCGAATGGAATGGACCAGAACCTAAGTAATTATCCTGTAATAAAGAAAACAGGAGGAAAGAAATACTACAAAAATATTTTTTTCATCTTCTAGACATCTGTTTATGGAACGCTTATGTTTTGTATAAAAAGCACGGCGGTAAAAAGATACGAATTTACAGTTTCGATTGGAAATTATCGATCGACTTATTGAAAGGCATGCAGCAGTAGAAGAAAGAAAAGGCCGTCCTGGATATTTACCAACTCCACTAAGACTAACAGAAAGACATTTTTTAGAGGTTATTCCACCTACAGAGAAAAAACTAAGACCTGCAAAACAGTGTTATGTGTGTTCATTGAAAAAAAATGACAACGGCGAAAGAATTAGAAAAGAGACAAGGTATTTTTGCCCAGACTGTGATGTTGGACTGTGCCTGTTGCCTTGCTTTAAGATATATCACACTAAATCAGATCTTTAAAAAAAGAAGGGTAAGTATGTTTTGTATCAAAACATAATAGTAAATGTAATTGAATTGTAATCGAAAATATCTGTTAAGGAATTGTACTATTTTAATTGTAAATGTAACTTCCCTGTTTTGCATTCATGTAGGGGAAAAAACAACTTGCAGGAAAAATTGATTATTTTCATTAAAGAAAAAAAAAGGTGTAATAAAAGCTTAAAAATATTAGAAATGTTAATTTTAATAACATATCTTTAGTTAAAAATGTAAAATGATTTCATCTATAAAATTGGCTTACACTAAGGTGGTTGTGATAATATACAAGTACAGAAACATTTTAAAATAAAATAATAATTAATAAAACATGAAATTTCATTGAAATTATGTAAAATAAAAGTAAATTTAGTTGTGCTGCACAATTTAAGTCAGAGGTTACTTTTGTCTTTTTTCACATTAGTAGATCTTGTAAGAGATTCTAAGGCCAAGGTAATGATCTTAAGTATTTTTCGGTTATCAGGACTGGATTCAGAAATGTTATGTGTGTGTGTTTGTATGCACATGCATACATATACAGTCAAAAGTCTTTAATCCGGACTCGTCGGGACTTCGACGATTCCGGATTATCGGTTTTTCCAGATTATAGATCATCAGTTTGAATCTGGTAAGATGGCATGCATAAATTATAAAATTAAAAATATGAAACCGTAATTTTTGAAATAAAGAACAATTATGATATAAAGGGTATCAAAATTTACAAAAAAAAAAAGCTTAATATTTATTTGTTTACTTTATTAAACACTTCTTTCAACGCGCGCATGCGTAAAGCATACATTACGCATAGTCGAAATTAGAAAATTGCAGCCAGAAAACTATTTGATGTGTATTTGTGATATTTATAATGACAAGGAATTTGATTTAAATCATATCAGAGTACATCGAGATGAAACTACATTTTAGTAAGGAATTATAAGCCGAATAAAATAAAAACATCTGCCCTGAAGATAAGGATAGTGCTGACAGATCAACTTCCAGTTCATTGCGCAACGATGTCCCCCCCCCCTGCAGAGCAGCATGAAATTGATAAACAGATTTCGGAATGGTTAGAGAAAGAAAGGATATGCCTTTATCCATTTTTTGAAGCAATTCCACTTTTTGTTTGATGAACATCGAGACATGCTTTCGCTTTGTAGATCCTTTGGCAGCTCCAGAATCGGAAATTCTTTTTGACATAATCGAAAGTTCAAGCTTACTTTTATAAAATTGCTCTAACAGTCTGCAAAAAATAATAAGCCAGATCCAATTAGAAGATTAAGGAACAATGCAATCTGCAACATTAACTGAAGTAGATAATTAGATAATTTTAGCTTAGCTTATACCATCTGTTATACATTAAATGCGCATGTGTAAACGTTTTGTGAAAGTTTGTAGCTTTGAGGTCTGTATTATAGATCATTCCGTATTAAAGACTTTTCACTGTACAGTCAAAAGTCGTTAATCCGGACT